CGTATATCTTCCGCTGATCTTCATTCATCGTAGATAAGTATCCCATAAAATCATATGACAACTTTTCTTTATCATTGTTCAACTCCTCAACCAACAAATTGTTTTGAAATGTATTGAGTGGACTGTCATCTGGAAATAGCATAAAACTGAATTGCCTCAAAGACCGTCCATTTGAATTAAGCAACTTTTCAATCTCAATCAGACATAAATTCTTTAGGTCTTCTTGAGAAATTATAAGCTCTGAAAAAAGAAATAGAAATAATGGAACTTATTTAATTCTACAAAGTTCCGAATAAAAATTGTAGGTTTCAAGACAATGCATTATGTACGGATTAATATGTTAAAAAACTACTCTATTGATATACCTTGATTATGCAATAGTCTCCTTCGATCAAATAAAATTCCCCACCAGGCGTTCCCATGATTTTTCACAAACAACTTGCAGGACACTCATGGTATTTGTCACTAATAATGTGACGAACAACTTTCTAAGCTGATTCCGAGAACCTAACTCAACAGCTTCTTTTATACCTTCAATAAATTCCTTATCATCAGCAAGTAACCTAATGCATAGCATGCCTCCTCGAATGAGTTATACAGAACATTGTTAACTGTCTTCATATTTTTCTTGCTTTTCAATTACAAAGTATACATTCTATTTTCAAAAAGTTTTCTTTTAAAATCAAATTTGTATAATTCTATTTTTTTGTAAAGAAAAAAGTATTGTGATATGATTTATTTTTCTCTTTTTTATTAATTTTAAGTAATCCTGTACATCGGTCTGTTCAAGAGTGTATAAGTGTTTGAAAAAAATATATGAATGATAAAGACGTTAAAATTTTAGGTGTGCATGAATACCTATTATCATTTTTTTTTTCAATATGAAACATATGCTATGTATTAAACATTGCATTTGACATATGTTCATGAAAAAAATATATTCTTCATTGATTTATTCGAAGAGTTAAGAAAAAATGACCTAGAAAACGTACTATATAATTAAGAAGACAATTTTATACCATAGAGCAAAAACGTTGAAGTATGAATGATTTTCTTAAATCATATGTCAAGAGATGCAAATTTCATTAAATTTAAGATATTGAATTGAACAATCATAAACAATTGAACTCTATGGAATTGTTTTAGTATGACATAAAATCCTTAGTATCTCAATACATAGCAAAATATGATTATTTATTGTAAACTCAAAAAAACTCATAATCCAAAACTAGCAAACACAATTTATTATCAAAGTGTACCATAATTCATCAAGTATTAAAAAAAACTTAAAGTATTTCATTATACTCCAACGACCAAATAATAATGACGATTAATTTTTTTCAATCTTAATACTCATCATCTTGTAGACGGACTCATCTCCATCTCCAAGGTTAGATGACTCGCCTTGCATTCTTTTCATGGGAGTAAGATTGGCCACATCATCTCCTAATTGTGTTGGACGACTTTCTTGAGATTCCACAAAATCCACTATTAAATTCTATAAGAAAAAAGACAAAGAAGACATATACACTATGAATAGTTCATAATATAATTAATCATGATTGTTCTTATGAATTAAAAGATCACAAAACTTGAATTTAAGATTGCACCTCAAGTGTAAAGAATAAAAAATAATGTAATTGTTATGTCTTGAATTTCAATACCTTTATGCAAGAAGAGGCCTTGTCAACTTTTAATAGACTATTAAAAGTAAAGAGGCCATTTTTTATTAGTTTTTCAGTACTAAGTACTAGAGAAACTGCAAGAATCTTTTACTTCCAAACCGATTCTTCATTTATTTATTCAATATGGCCTTTTTTTCAATCGGTTGAATATCCGATGGTCTTATCAGTCTGCAATAAAGAAAATATAAATAGGTTATCAACCATAAATATACTATCGTTGAAGAGAGAAACAGAATGAACTTTAAGTAAGTGTTTTAATTCCAAACCTGAGGAGAGAAAAATGTAGAGTGCAACTCCTTAAATTTTGTAATGACCCGGTCATTAAAGCATATGTCATTAACATTGTAAGAAGGTTCAAACTCATTGAAGCTTGCGGTGCTAACCTCAACCTTGAAGATAAATGACTTATCTAGCAGCATTTGATTGAACACATCTGGTTGTTCACTTCCTCCTGAGACATTCTTTATAGGCAACATCGATGAAATAAGTTTTGTATACATACCTCACAGAACTTCAGCATCTCGGAGCAGGGCTTATGCAAACACAAACATCCAACGCTTTCAAATATTACAAAAGTTGCACTATCTGATGCATCGTTCACTCTAGCCTTAATTCGATACCTGTGTATATTCATTATATTAATAGGGACCATTAGGTGTATTCAGATGTTTTTATCATTTGTTCAGTTTTTATAGTGTAATGTTTTTAGGCTCTTTTAAAAATTTTTGTAGAGATTATGAACAATGTTTAAGCAATATAAAAAGTCTTAGAGTCTAATGTTTTTAAGCACTGGAGAAACTTCAACTTTAATAGACTATTAAAAGTAAAGAGGCCATTTTTTATTAGTTTTTCAGTACTTAGGGCTGGAGAAACTGCAAGAATCTTTTACTTCCAAACCGATTCTTCATTTATTTATTCAATATGGGCAATTGAAGAATTTTGGTTTTAATACAGATTAGTGTAATTGTGTTTTGAAAATAAAAGCAAAAAAACGTTCTTGCCACTAAAAAATTATAAGAAATCCTATTAAACATAAATTTTATTTTGTATGCAAAATACGAATAAGAGTACAATTCTTACATGTTCGTCCATGAATATCATCTCAATCGAATTCGTCATCTTCTCACCATTATACACCGGCATCTTGTGCAGTCGAATCACACGAACCAAAACTCTCCAGCATTCACTTGATGGATTGATCTTCAACAAAGGGTGAATCGGTTTGGAAGACATGTCAATTAATCAGAGGTTTTAGGTATGAACGCGGCTTACAATGAAAAAATAGATTGATGAAATGGCTTACTTAAAATTTGATTTATACATGACCTAATATAAATCGCAAGAAGGAAACTTACAGCAATAAGGGTAGAAAATCCAGAGATTTGAACCGGAAAATTTGAAAGAAGAACAAATTTTGCAGAGACTAATCATCATAAGAAGGAAAGAAGGACAATCATCCCAAAAACAATTATGATTTTTTAAGAAAAGGGAAAGTTACCTATTCTTGGTACCGATCGTTGGAATCTCCGTGAAGAAGGACCATGAAGAAGGAAGGAGATTAATTCCAATCACATATTCTCTGAAATCTCGCGGTGGAGCCATTCGAAGATGAATATAGCAGGGAGGTGCAATCGAAAGAAAGTGCCGCTGATGTCTCGCTTCATTCAGACTTGCGGATGAATTCCACACAGAGTAGCCCAAATAAAAGAAGGCCAAAGTAATGAATCATTATCCAACCCGTTTGAAATATTGAGTAAGTCCAATATGATGACATGACTTATGAAGTGTCAAAAAAAATCCCCGTCAGCATGACAAATGTCAAAATTCTGATAGTTAAACTCCCAAATATAATATATAAAGGATTCGCTATTCAAACGACGTATAGAATATTTTTATTTACAAATTGATATAGAAATAAAAATTAAAATTTACATATTTAAGCATCACATCAAAAATTTACAAAATAAGATTTAATAAGAATATTTTATTTTATCAAATGATCAATTAAAACATGCAAATATACGAAAATTACCAAAAGCCCAAAATATAAACACAAATCATTTTGGGAGTATATTGTTATTTTGAGGGAAATTTATTGGTATCCTTGTTAAATGAATTAATTATTTAATATTTTTAATATTATATACGGAGTATTATAATTATGGTTGTTACCTATTATAGTTAGAGTTATTATTATAACACCTCCGTCCAACAATAATGTTCTCGTTCACTACTCGCAGGGTCAAACTTTATTCATTTTGTTGGCGTTTTTTCGTTGCCCATTTGATAAAATGATATACTCATGTCACCTTTAGTTTTGTAGATCTTTTCATGTATTTTTAAATATGCAATTTTTGTTTTCTAATTCCATACAATTTTTCATATAAAATAATTTGAAAATAACTTTAGTCAAATATCGTAACGCGCAATGGAAACATTATTATTGAACGGAGTGAGTATAATATTGCCTTATATTATTAGGCATTAATGTGGAGGATTCTAAAATATATTTCTCCATCTATAAATAGATCTCTTGTAATCCTCCCTTATTCATTCAAAAAATAAAGCATTATTTATTATTTTTTCATGGTATCGGAGTCTTCACTCTTGGTGACCTAATACATTTCGCTTTCGCCGCCGCCATCGCTAGTGGCTTATCTGACGATGGCTGCCTCACTCCCACTTGTTCCTTCAATAATCATCCGCCATGTTTCCCGATCCGGTTCCGGGTCCATCACCGTCGCTTCTTGATTTTAGATGATATCATCACCTGCTTAGTCGGGAGATCTTTGGTGAACATGCATCTCCGGCAATACCTCATTCCTTCCATTTCTTCTTTAAACCAGTCGCGCATGTCAACCTTCTCCCTTCTTCGACGTCAGCGGCATGAGTCTATCCGCAACGGCTCTTCTCCCATCCTCCTCGATGGCGGTACATCTCTTTCCCAGCAATCTTTCTTCTTGCCCAAATGCATTCAGTCCGCTCAGCCCGATGATATGCCTCTAGCTTCTGGTTACGATTATAGTCATCATTCAATTTAAAGTTGACGTTCAAACCCCACAATTTAAGACGTTGGGTAGCATGTTAAATAAATCAATTACTTATTATATTTAATATTATAAGTTATAATTATGATTGTTATCCATTATACTTTGAGTTATTATTATATAATATTACCTTATAGTATTAGTCGTTAATGTGGAGGATTCTAGAATATATTTCTCCACCTATAAATAGATGTCTTGTACTCCTCCCAAATTCATTCAAGCAATAAAACATAATCGTAAAGTGTGAAGATTGAACGCCAACTTTATTTAACATGCTCCAACTTTATTCCAACTTCCACGAAAATCATTCCCAGGACCTGAATTCGTGGAAGTTGTAGCCAAATAAACTCTTCTCGATTCTAGGGGGTTGTACCAGTACTTCATCATCCATGGCAAAACAAGATTACTTGAGCCAAGACTTGATTTTCTCCTGTCCCGTGTACCCAAACTGGTGATCCAATCGTAGAGGAAGGATGGCCTTTAATTGGGTAGACTGGTGAGTAAGCATCACAAACTTTTCTTTTGTTAAATAATAACTGTGCATAGGCTACAAATGCAAGTTCATTTGCAATATTAAGCCAGGCAATATACAGCTGGTTTTTGGACCAGAACAATAGTTGGCAATTAACTTCTGCAGATTATGCCAACTTTCTAGAGCTATCTATACACACATATAGACGTCTTCAACTTTATTCATTCGACTCTTCGGTTGATTCAAGATGTACGTGCGGGCACACCCTCTCCGGTTCTCCCCTTGTCCACAGGATTTTAAGGTCTCCTCTCTTTCTTCCCAATGCCAAAAACGTCCCTGCACCACGTAATGTCAATATGTTAATTGGTTAATCCCGTGACTGATCACTTTCAAAAGAGGCCCGCCTCTATTAATCTTCGGACAAGTTCTATGGCCACTCACTTTAAGTGGCCACGGAGGACACTGTCCCAATTGAGACATCTAAAGTTTTGACCCTACAGTCAACTAACACCCTGCAATTGACATGGGTGGGGATGGGTTGGGGTCGGGATTGGGTGGGGGGTTTACCGAGAGAGTAGGAACTATCAATTTTACGAACGGAGCACCGTAAATGCCATAGAACTGGGCTGATTTATCTTACTTACCAAGAGTAAATGGAACAATGTAAAGAAGTGCTGGTTGGCCATGACCATCCATCAGGTTTAATGCAACATATGTGACAAGAAGACCTGCAATTCAAGCGAAAGAACTCTCATAAGCTTTACACATACACTACATACATGGGTTGTTTGGCACCAGCTTTTGGTTTGCTTTTTGTTAAATAACAGCATTTTGGGCTATGAGTTATTAAGCTTTGCTCAAATGGCTTTTAGAATTGTTTGGTGAACAACTTTCTAGGAAATCCTTTTTGTACCAAATGTTTTCCAGGAAATCTTTTTTACCTCGGTGTACATATTTTAGTATTATTTTTTTCATATTGAACTGAGGCTTACGCCTCGTTCCGCCTCAAGGCATTTTGATCCGCCGCCTCGAGGCTAGTTTTCGCCTTTCAAAACCTTGGCGGAGCATGGCTAGATGCTGTGAAATGAGTGATGTGTGTCAGATTAGTTACCTAATCCATAAGCAAACATTGCCCACAAAAAGTAACCCGTTCGGAGATTCTTCTTTGCAAGCCAATCATACCTACACAGGATTAAGATAAAGTGCACTGATAATCAATCATAAACAAGAACACTAGTGTGGTTTGATAGATAGAAAGTAGCACTTAATGTAATCAAATGTTCCCTCTGTTCCTCAAAACTTCGCCAACATCCCTTCTCTATCCGTGCTAAAAAAACATTTCAAATATCCTCTCAAGGAAAAAAAATGTAACATTTTTTCAATTTCCATATCAGTCAAAGTTAATACAACGTTGTGAGGCCATGGGACCATATTTAAATGTGAACTTACATAACACATTATTTGATTACATTTTGTCATAATATTTGATTTCAATATATCTTGAGTAATTCTACTTTAACACTACCCATGACAACAAGTTCTACACCACTATGTGTAAGTCACAGACAGTGGTGTTTGACTTGGTGTCATTATAGCGCAACTCTTCTATCTTACCAAACTACACTTAAAATCAAGATTGACAGCACCAACTCACATGTGAAGATTGAAACTTAAGTGAAACCAAGATTGACACACATTTCTAAGGGTGTGCTTGGTGTGTAGAGGTATGAGAGGGGGAAGGGAGGGGAAAGAAAAAGCGCACTAAAGAACCTGGTCCATCCCATCCAACAAGAACTAAGTATCACAAATACACTCCCTAATCCCTAAAGCGCTAGTGATAAAGAATACTGAACCTCAGTGAAAATGAAACCAGCAGTCCAGGTAGTAGGATGTCACCAAATCCTATGATGCTATAACCTCCCCAAGGATCAAATAACCGTGGGATCTTCAGTAGCATAGGAATGCCATCCTCCCCACTTCTATCGCCTCGGGCTACCTAAAAGAAGAGAGGAAAACCTATGTAGCATGTTCACTCAAAAGAAATATATAGGTTAAGAAATCAGGATACTACCCACCACAATCATCACACTTTCATGGAACAGCTTCTTAGAAGCAAACACCCAAAATATGTCGTACGCAAAGGCGCAACCCAGTAGAACCGTTCCCACCTAATATGCAAGACAGCAAGACCAGAAAACATTGTGAGAAATATAAGCTCTTTTTACCGTTTCACATTTTCTCATGAAAAAGTACTTTCCTCTGCCTTATAGAAAAAGTCATATTTGGTTAGGGTGCGGCCTTTTAATTTTGGCAAAATATAACTGTTAAAAATCATGATATCACATGCATGTGTTATCCAGAATATTCCGCTGTGTGCGTATGAGAGTGTGTAGGCAATCACTGTGATACGGTAGTATGAGAGATAATTGCCTTTACTATCCAGTATTTTTTGGCAAATTATTGGTGAAATATATGAAATAAAGGTTTCTCCCTTTCTCTTAACGAAACTGGATTCTTCTTTTAGAACAAAACTACTTTGATATATGACTTTCAATTTACACTTGTCAGGAGATTGAATCATTACCTTGAGATTAGGTATCTGTACAATCTGAAGAACAGTGATGATCAGTGCAATGCCCTTGTAAGAAAGACCAGAGGGAAGTTTTAGAAGATTGGCAACAAAGCTAAAACAAGAATTGAAAAAACATGTCACACCCATTTTTTTAGGACACCAAGATGCTGATCTCAACATATTTGTTGCACTTGCATTCTGGGAGTGAGCAATTTCATTTTTTATTTTTTTTAAAAATATGATTAGCATCAAGAGTTTGACAGTGATACTTTTAGCAACATTACTAATACTTTCTAGAGCATCAATGGTGTATCAATGGAAGAGGTATTACAAAATTTACTAAAAGTATCATGGGATTTGGTCTGCTATCCACTCTTAATAAGGGAATAAATGTTATACACAGCCATATGAATCTTAATTGTTCAATAAATTGGTGTTTACAAGTACTCTGCTCCCATCTTCAGACTATGGGGCATAGCTTGATCAATTTACGGAGTCATTGAGTAAAACATTTGAATTGGATTTGGAACCCATTGCTGTAAATAAATTGTTTCCGAACATAGATGCTAGCACTAGATATATTTTCAAGTTAATATAAGTATTTTTTCAAGAGAAGTTACTAAGCATTTTGAAAACTACTAGCTTTACCAAAAGAGCAGCACAAAACATATTTCCACTTACAAGTATATCTTGACCTATCCATGCAAATGAATGTGTTCTGTAGACGGCCCATATAACTCCAAAGGCTATGCAGAATGGAGAGACAACCAAAGTAAGGTATGACACTGCTCCGAAAATGGGTACTTTGATAAATGTATCTCCCGTATGCTTGAACCACCTGAAATACTTATTCTTCACAACCTTTTACAGTACACTTGAGTAGCAAAAAGACAAAAAGAATCTTGACTGCATGAAAATCTCTATTCTGGACAGGGAGGATGCCACATTAGGAACAAGGGGGCATTGGGTTCTGAGGTTTTAACATTTTTAGGGCCATTTTAGTAATTCCACAATTACTAGCATGAAAATATCATAGATTTTATGAATAAATAAATAAATATTATGAATAATTTGTTTCATTTTATTGAGGTATTTATTTTTGATCTAATGATTGCATTGATATTTAAAGAGCAGTACTTATTTAAAAAAAATTTATATTAGTTATTTAAGCCTCGTGTTGCACCTACTACACAATTATGACAAAACATGTACCACCTTACAAGTTACAACATTAAAAGAATTTTAAATCCCATAAGTACTCAAATGATTCAATGCAATGCGTATTATAGTATCACATTCGCATGTATATAGAACAAAGAAGTGATATATCAGCGTGTCTTAAACACATTTATCATTAAACTGTACTAGTTAGGCCCATATCATCAAGCTGTAAGCCTGTAATTTTCTAAAGTATGCTCTCAATAAAACATTATGAAACAAAATGCATACTACAAGATGTCATACCGTGATAGCAAAGCCACTAAACAGGTTTGCAAGCCCTGTGGAGAAATCAGAATTTGACCAATCCGTTAGAAACGCATAAGCTAAATAAATAGTACATAATAAACAAATGGATGCATGCTCCATTTCTGAGTAAGCTGTATCTCTTGTATATGTGTTCCACTAGTGAGAGATACCGACTGGTATGTAAATAAAACAATTATATGGGAAACACTCTTGGGGTGGAGCTAAGGTCTACGTACATCATCCCCCATACCCTACTCTTGCGTGGGATATACTGGGTTTGTTTGATTTGGCCTATCACAAGGACTCAAGGGAAATTGCATATGCATGAGATTCTACACATATAGCGTCCATTGCCATTTGCCAATAAAGCTGAAAGAGCCATTATTGACTACGTTTTAGCTTTCAATGAATAATGGACTAAATATAAAAACTTTCAGAAGTTTTGGGTAATAAATGCAGCAATGCATCATGGGTCTAAGTGCCTAACCGAAACGCCCTCTATGTTTTATACAGGGTAAGGCTGCGTGCAATACATTTTGACCCCTAGAACTCCAATGGAGTTGGGATTTTGCTTGGTTGTTTTTGTAGTAGTAGGGAGATTCTAGGCATATATGTTTGTTAATAGCACTTGTATCCAGGCATAGGAGATAGCACACACCTCTATTCCCCCAATGCAAAAGACTACGACTAGGAGCTCAAAGAACCATGAGAACCTCATAAGTTTGTACAACAAGATCAAGAAACAGGAAGCAATGGCAACAAATAAAACGGCTGATGTCATGTTGATATCAACCACATTGCTAGTATGAGCCGTTTCAGTCTCGGGAAGTTCATTCAAAGCATCCTACAAAAGAGGAGGGATTGTAAACAATAAATATAAGGCGTGCGAAGAGGTTAACTTCTTGATTTGAGAAATAGACAGATCACCTTTAAGAACTTGTCATGTTCTATATCTGCTTCTCTAGCACTCCTAGCAGACCAGTATGATGCACACAATACAGTCCCAACAGCCATCAGCCATAAGAATACTTCTGCTATGTCAACTACTGGCCGCTGTGGAGAGTAAAGCTGTACAGTAACTAAAAGGCATAAAAAGATTTAAAAATCAAGTCTTGCTGAAAGAACCAAGTGAAACATCCCAAGAAAGTGAGAGTTAATTAATAGAGTTCTAATAGAGTCACACTATCACATGCTAATACAACAACAATAAAATCCAGTATAATCCCTTTGGCGGTGGGGTATTTGGGTCAAGATACACACAAGCTTGCCCCTGTATACAGATACTGTTTTTGCTAGACCAATGATGCATTGATTTAGTCAAATTTTTTATCGAATCTTGGACATATTCAATTAACACCCACTAGGACATACGATATCTGCTAAAAATAAGGAAAATGGCCTTTTGAGTTGATTATTCATCTGCAGACTGCAGTGATAACAAATCAGCATGAATGTTTACTATGCATACCTAGTGACTAGTGTTATATATGATGAAAATAACACCTTCATTATCTACATTACTTCAATCCCTTAAAACTCGTGCCTTTCAATAAAAAACTAAGGAAGTGAAGATCTAAGAGTACCCTTTCCTTGTATTCAAATGGAAGATTACCTGAAGACCTATTCAATAGCATTTTCTCCAAGGATGTACCAGCATCATGGGGAAGCATGACAGCAGGTATCTTTATATCGAGGTCAGTTTCATCAGGATCACAAACCATCTTGTAAAGTTCTGCAGGAAGAAATGAACCTCAGAAATACAACTATAGCAAATCAAGCCGCAAATAATGTCAGGAGGGAAACTACAAACTACACTGCACAGATATTTTGTTCTATATCTCCCTAGTTCCAACAGGGAAAACAAGCATGAGACTCACCATGAGAAAAAACACAAATCTATAAACATATCATGGAATCAGAACAGTTAAAGAAAAGGGTCAAGACACTTAAACATATGAAAGAAGAAGATCTGTTTCTTTTTCCCCTAACCTCTACTCATATCCAGACCTCATTCTACTGTAAGTTTTGGTAAAAATAACATCAAGAACAAACCAACAGAAAGAAGATAAACACAGATAACCTTTTTGGTTGTTTACTATAAGAACTGCTGAAGCACCAGCAGCTTCTGCATAATTAGCTTTTGCAGTGAATTTGCAATGCCCTCGATCCACCATGATGACATCCCCAGCAAGCTAACAGAAAATCAGGACCATTCCACCATTAGAAGGTATTGATCTGTTCAGTGCATAAAATGTAATGCAATTACATGTGAACTGAAAAAAAATTGAGAACCTTGTTGTTTGGAGTACCACAACCATCTCGGGGATTTGATCGAGAGAGGCGAGTTTGGTGTGCATTTTTTTCCTGTGACACAATTGTAGTGCCAAATCTAGCACCAACACCAACAAACTCTTCATCTTCTACACCATCAACCCATGTTTGAATTTTCACCTAAGAACACATTCACAGTTTGAAAAGTAAATGCTCAGACCAAAACTTGCCAGAAAATGTAAGCATCATGTGTGCGCATGCGCAACAACTATATATTTCAGGAATATGGAAAATGAGCCTTTTTTACCCAACAAAACTAAAACCCAAAATACAAACTACTTCCAAGAGATAGACATAGACGTAGAGACGTACTATTTCCAAGAGACCCGACCTCAAGCAATAAGTGAAATGGTAAAAAGGTAAATGCAGAAGCAGGAAGGACAAAAGCAATGTGAGATCTTAATCCAAAAGATTACAAGTTTAATAGCTCAAATGAACATTAAGCTAAGTAGAGTCCAATAAATGGATCAAAGATCAATACCATTCTCGTGGAGCCAAATTATAGTCAAGACTCAAGATCATAACAAAATACTATATCCTATTTTAAAAAAACAGTCATGCATGCACAAAACCAATATCTACACATTGAAACACAGTTCAAAAACAAATCAAAGAAAATACAAATCAGAAAACAGTAATGAAAGGAGCAGAACACGAATTAGTACCAGCACAAAATCGTTGTCACATCCGGGCTTCTTCGGGGCTAAATCGTCGTGATGAACAATGTCACCTGCCTTCACTCCAGAATGGACGCCGGAAATTACCAGCAGAACTGAAAATCGGCAAATCAAACAGCTAAACTTCCACAAATCCATCGGATTTCAGTCAGAAGAAGCTCGGGGATAAAGTGGGGAGAATGCAATGCATGGATAAACCCTAGAATTGGGTGCGTAGAATAACAGAAGAAGGAGAAAGAATTTAAAAGGCCCTTCTCCTCTTCTTCTTCCTCCTCTAATAATGGAAAGCTGTAATCTTTTCATTTGGGAGAAATTATTGTTATCAAGAAGCATTAAAATAATGGAAAGTATTGTGGAGTAATAAATAAATAAATGCAGCGAAGAAGTGATCAAATTCAAGCGGGGACTGTTGTTGTTGTTGTTGTTGTAGACTTGTAGATCCAGTGCGCTTCCTGTTTTCGTGTTGACGGACGGTAGTGGTGGTTATCATTCCGTTCGGTGGGACCCCAAAAACAAACTACTTTCCTTTCCTTTTCCTATCGGTACAGTTTGAATACGGATTAAATATAGTTTAAAATAATTAAAAATTATAAAAGTTTAATATTTTAAAATTATATTTTAAAATAAATACAATTTTACTAAATTTACATTATGTCCAAATATATTTCTTCTATAATTTGCGGTGTAAGAGTGCCACAGTGTGACCATGTGGTAATTTTTAGGGACAGAGAGTAGATTTCATCGATTCAGTGCAAAAGTGACTTCTTCTTTTTTTACTCCCTCCCTCTGTCTTAAAATTTTCTTCCCATTTTGATTTATGAAATTTGATTAAAGTTATATTTAAAAAGTACATTAAAAATTTTATAAAACAAGAGGTGATGTGACTATGTTATTTTATCAAATACCTAAAGAAAATAGGTAAACAAAGTGATTAAATTTTGACTGTGCGAATGCTAACTGAGAAGAATATTTTAAGACAGTGGGAGTAGTTCTTTACTGAATTAACCTAAGGTTGTGTGTTATAGGACGTGACGAAGGGCTTGATCACCCTCCATCACGCCCTTCTTCCATTACACATGCATCGTGGAGGGGTGATGTTCCATTTTAAGTGACCACCACCACTCCGTTTAGGCTTTTCCTTCCCCACCGTTTTTTTTTCTTTTTTATATTTCAAGTATTTAAAATTTAACACATATTAACACCTCATCACTTTATTCACACACACCATAATACACATTTCTATCACTCCATATTATATCCCTTTACACCATGAAATCCCGTCAAGCAGCCCCCACAATAACACATAGCCTAAACATCCCCAACATTGACGTCCTATAATATTTCGTGCTCTCAGCATATAAAATTGATGATTTTACATTTAGTTTTCCAAAGTTGTATGTTCCCCGCCCTCAAGATTGTCACTTGCAAGAGTAATTACGGCTACCAATAAATGATCCAGTAGACATGGGGGGAGAGTTAAAAGATATGATTCATAATTTTTTTGCAAATAGAGCACCATAGGAGCCAATGCCATAATATGACACTACTAAATGGTATCATTTTAACCCACACTCTTTTTAATAGCCTTAGTTTTTAAATCTAATGCACTCTATATACATTTTCATTTGTCTCATTAAGCATCATTCTCATTTTTATACTAATTTTTTAAAAATAATTGTCAAAATCTCCAAACAAGACCGACCCTTGGTTTGAGTTGCAGGGTGATGTGTATGCATAAAAAGAAAGTAAGCAAAGCTACAGAGAAGCTCGCAAGAGAGTATATATTTTAATTTAATTTAGAATCTGATATACAGTTCAATGGAGTGATGGACATTTATACTATTCTAGTCATTCAATATAATAATTATCGATATTCATTGATATTTTCTTGTCGTGTAGTGTTTGAGATGTTCCTTTGGATAAACTAGCGTAATTTTGCATTTTGTTCATTTCTCACTCTTGTAGTCTTGTCTCATAGCAATTGAACATTCTAACTTGATATTTTCGAATGTCCCTAGGCGTCGTCCCCTGGTGTTACTTGGAACGTAGTGGGTTGGACACAATTGTGAAAGCAATTGACACAAGCAGAAGACCACGGCCGGCCCAAAAGCTTCTCCTTGTTCGATCTGATTTTTAGAACATTGATTCTTAATATTTTGGAATAATGACATTTCCAATCCTTAATCCTCATACAAACGGAGAAACTACTCAAAACCCAACCCATAAAAACAAAGAAAAAAAGTCAATGGTCCGTAACATTCCAAAATTGGTCATGTTTGGATGTGGTGGGTGGCCAAGCCAGAAAACCCAAAAAACAAAAGTAAGTGGGTAATTTTCAAAAGAGACAAAACATTAGGGGGCACGTACATAAATGCCTCCTCCCACATGCATGCGCTAATAAACCAGTCCGATCTGTTTGGACTGGACCTAACCATGTGGGTTTTGGTCATCATTAATTATTTGATGATGCGTGGATGGGGAGCCCTTATTTCTTTTGCAAATTATATTCCCCACCTCCCCAAACTACTTCTCAACTTCTCATTCTAAGTTATAAAGATTTCTAGAAACTACTCCCTTCGTTCCAAAATATACTCCTTATTTGACTTTTCACGATCTCTAAGATTACACTCTCACTATTAATATCTCTATTTACATAGATATATTTTATAAAAATTTGATATTTCAAAACTATGTTGTAATAGAAATATGTTGATATTAAATTTATATCATAATACAATGTATTTTTTCCACATCTTAGTCAAAGTTTGCAAACTTTGACCATAAAAAGTCAAATGGGAAGATCATTTCTAGACAGAGGGAGTATATTTAATTTGATTTCTAAAAATTTATTTAATGTAGAGTTAAAAAACAAACTGTATGTCTCAAAAATATATTAAAAATTCTACAAAATATAATTTGACATTACTGTTTTATTTTATCAATTAGATATGGGCAAAGATCGAATCTTTTGACCTTGAACCTCTAGTCATATTATGACTCAAACATCTACGATATTTCGTTGGTAAAATTGATGTTTGGGGGTGCAGGAGCAGGGAGGCTTATCTTATTCTTTCATTATACTAGCATTAAACTCTAACTAGGGGATCTGTATAACTAAATTTTATTCTTATCTAGGACGATTTCTTTGATATTATACATCCAAATTAAATCTATGATATTTTGTTTAATTTTTTAGAGAACATGCGTAATATTGCCTAACACAATTTATTTCTCCGTACTAATTTCATTTACATGTTTGGTTCGTGGAATTTGAGAAGAAAAGCATTTTCCCCACGAAAATATAAGGAAGGTATTTTCCTTCTTTTTGTTCATTTCTTCTTCTATTATCTTTTCTTTCCACTTTTCTTTTTCTTTTCCTCCCTAACCAAACAGAAAAATCATTTCCCCTCTTATTTTCTTTGTTTTCCTTTTGAAATTCATTGATCAAACATAGTGTTAGTCTTATCATGTTCTTATTATTCCCTTCATCCAAAATTAGTCTTTCTTTTTTTCTCCTATCCCAAATTGATTTTTCTCTTTTTTTGGAAAGTTGCTCGTGGCTCATTATTTTCTCTCTCATTTGCATTACTTTCAACAATATAATTTCATTTTTTTAAACACCCTGCAAAGTCAAACAAGGAACGTTAATTAAATTGAGATGGAGGGAGTATTTTTTGTTTATTTTTTAGTACTCCCTTCGTTCCAATTTATATTGCCTGTTTCGTTTTACGATATTTGACTAAAAGTATTTTCAAATTATTTTATATGAAAAATGATGTATAATTAAAAAATAAAAATTATATATTAGAATATTACATTAACAAATCTACAAAACTAGTGCAGACATGCCTATTTTATCTTATCAAATGACTACCGAAAAAGAGAAAGAAAGTAATGAAGTTTGACCCTATAAATAATAAACATAAGAGAAAGAAAGTAATGAAGTTTGACCCTATAAATAATAAACATGCAATTTAATTTGGAATGTGAGAGTATTTCTTTTGTTGAGAAGATAAGTATGTGAGGATGCTTTCATGACTACACTATGTTTAAAGTGTATGGCATACCTTCTCCCGGTCACAAAGTAACCTCTAAACGTTCCCATATGCCAAGGATCACTTTTTTCAATCCCACGCAGAAACTTCAAAATTTACCCTTACTATATTTACTTTCAGTGCACCCAACGTAAATGCTAAAGTAGTATTTTAACACGGAGTAGTATAAAGTAAAGAAGAGGTAAAATATTTTAAACATTTTACTGTAACATAAATTTTACGAATAATATTTCAAGGGTAAATTAAAAAGTGACAAACTGTCAAAGACCCTCTAAATTACAGTACAAATAAATCTTTCAAAAGTATGCATTAGATGGGGCACATTTAACGTGAAGACATGGAGACATTTGGCCATTCCACACTGCAGCAAAATAAGGAGCAGAAACCACATACCATCTGGTCACAATCTTCCCATGCCCTGCAAATCACATCACTTTCCACCGTAAAAGTAATTTTTTCCTAAGTAAAGAAGTGGCTGTAATTTTGGGACGTAAATGATACAGGCCCTCCATTTCTTCCATAACCCATATGGTTGTTCAGGTTATTAGCCACTCGCATGATTTCCCCCGAGAAGAATTTCTCAGGGACGAATTGACTCGAAAGGTGGGATGCATTGTACATGTTTTGGCCATAAAGGAAAGGAATTTTAGGGTAAACCTGAGCATAATAACTTCCAGAAGGTGTATCACTCTGGGAGCTGAGAATGTGTCTGGTATGATACTTTGCTTGCATACCCAAACTACCCTTTTGAACGTTTGAGTCTTTGTCGGCTGTAATCACATTGGTTTGAAGTTGATTCCTTGAAGGGACCATGTTGTTCAAGAGAGTTGACAGAGCTGGATATGAAGCAGAAATTGCATTTCCAGAGTCATTAACTACACAAACTGGCTTTTTCACAGAGAAATTTGATTTCATTTGGTTCTCATTGCAAGATCCAACAACCGCTTTAAGGGTTTCTTCATGCTTAACGCCCTTTATGTGACAACTATTTGAATCAAGATCCACTGTCTTCTTCAGAGATCCAACTGTTGGTTTTCGGGAGCGACGGTTATCTCTTCTACACACTTCACTTTTCTTCTTTGGTTGTCTTTTTATGGTATTTTGTGGCTTTGTTCTTGACTTGGAGACCAATTCCCGGGGGAGCAGTTTTTCCATGTCATCTTTCATATGTGTGAACATTTTCTCTCTAGCAACCTTAAGTTCCCCTAAGACAGACTCTCGGAAAGTCTTTAGATCATCCCATATTGCAGTCTGGGCGTGTACCCTCCTCCGCTTCTTGTTTGTGTCTTTCTGTTTCTTTGCAGCTTTCGCACATCTAAATTTATTGTCAAGTTGATGATTCCTCTTCCGAGCTCTAATTTCATTGTTAGACTCTACACATTGGGACAAAACGATGCAGGAAAGTAAATCCTGTTTCTTATCATGTGCATCACAACTGGAACTTGACTTTGAGTCGTCATCACTGGAAGAACTAAGCTCGTCACCTCTCCTCCTAAATTCCCACCTCTCCAGGAACTCTGGGTCCTTTTTCATATCTAGGGCAAGGAGAAATCACTCAAATCAGTGCAAGGCCAGAAAGCTGATAACAATAGAACCCAAAGTATTACTACACATAAAATACAAATTGAACAGCAGGCCAACAATGAGAAACTAGAAGAAGAAGAAGAAAACACACACACACACTCACATAAATGAAAAGAGCGGTTTTACCTTATTTCTGTTCACACCAGCTTGACAGTCTGTCTTGTTCGGTCATCGACTCTTCTTGTATGACAGATTTCTTTATACACTTATCCCCAGCTCAATCTCTCAGAATGGAAAGAAAATATATTCTCTTTATGCCTAGTTGTGACGTTTCTAACTGAGAATGGGTTTACCATATATTGACGAGGAATCAGTTGGTGTGTAGAAGTCACGGTGCTGGTAGAGGACTCACATACATTTTTATTGAACACATGACCAGTCCCTCCGATGAAATTTATAGATAAAATAAAATGACAAATAATCCCAACAAATGACATAGTGTCCTTTGCAATTTGCTCAATGGGATTAAATAAAACCTTAAATACACCCAGTCAAACTTATATATCTTACACAGTGCATTTTGTGAATTCGGGATGAAAATAGACCAGTTAAAGTCTTAGGGCATGTTCTTTTCGTCAGAACTTATTAATCTTGATCTAAATTTATTAAGGTCTAATATGATGTGAAGTGAATCTTTTGGGGCTGATTTGAAATTTTTTAGTTGATTGGTCTTATCTTGTGATCTGACCTGAAACTTTCGAGTTTGATTTGAACCTTGCTAGTGTGGTTAATTTAATTCTAGTTAAAATTAAGTGCGTTCTGTTCAATTTAATTTTTCTGTTTATTATTTATTCTTTATCCATTCATATCAGATCAAATCCATTCAGATCAGATCCATTTATATTAGATCAGATACATTCATATACATTCATATCAGATCACACCTGAAAAATGTTGAAATATAAATAAGGTTATAATAATAGTAATAACAATAATAATAACAACAATAGAAATAATACAACAACAACATTACCCTAGTGCCTCAAACATAGAGCGGCTATTTCCAAATGACTCGTGATGAGCATCAAAAGTTGCATTGACTAACCATTACTTCATTATCAAAAGAAGCACAGCCAGTTTAGGAGTCAATTTGCTTTATTCCATCTTACTCCAAAGCCAAAGAATAGTGAATAATAATAATAATAATAATAAACTTGAATTTGATTATATCATATCCATTCATATCATTATAGACCTAAAAAAGATTTAAATCAGATCCAATCTGATTAGAAGAACGGAAAACATAGCATAAAGTTGTTTTTATTTGATCTGAACAGATATGATCAGAATCTTTCTCATCTAAATTGATTCTAATTGGAATAAGTAATAAGAATAATATGAAGAGAACATGCCCTTATACTCGAGTGTAGAAGTTGTATTGTTGAATTAACAATTGTAAGCATAGTATAAAGAGGTATCCATGCCACACGAGTCCGTAGAACAAATGTGACAATGCCATGAATGAAATAACAATCAGATTTGGAAAGAAATGATCAACAACCACTACCTTCATGGCTTCATCCTACTAGAATTTGCCAACTTTTAACGTAAATTACACTACAGGTTGTCAAATTGCAGCAGGGCAAAGGGAGTACTAAATATTACAACATCAAACCTGCTATAATCCCAACTCCATTGGGGTATAGGAAATACTAAATACAGAGCAATAAATAAGTTGTGTTCCTAATAAGGCTAATATATAACATTCAAATAGTAATGTTATGGTCAGCTAATCTAGAGGCTAGGACTGGTAAAGAATTGAAGGCCTCCTAAAGGCAAGCACGGACACAAAATAGAAGAAGCTAAATGATTTCTTATTATAACCTATGTATAATGCATATTTTGTATAGACTATTGAATACATAATGATTCAACTAAATAGCATACATTGTTTTGGAAACCAATGCCATGTAACTTAAAACTTTGTTGTTTAATGTGTGCAAGGAAGAAACTCAATGGTCTCAAATAACAACTTACCTTTTTGTCAATGTGAAGCATCCGAATAGGACAAGCATTTGAGTCCTAATTAGGATTAACAATATATCACGTGTTCATGTCATTTGAGTCCAAACTCTTTGTATTGAGCTTAAACTGGGCGAGTCTGGTTAAGTAATACAATTCACTTCGTCTGGCGACTTGTTTGACATTATCAGTGCAAGTTAACCAAGGTGGCTCCGTGGTTCATTCATCCCCATTCACCCCAAGTCCCCAACCCACTTGCACAACTGGGGTAAATGGTGTATGTTCTTTTACTTCAATCCAAACCAAAATTCAACTAGGTAGAGCTAATATTATTCAAACAATATCTTAAAGATATTGTAACTAAGATGAATATAATTTCTCCCAATCTAGGTTATTTGAAGTAACCTAGGTGAATCTGGAATCCAATGGGAGCATACACTTGTGGAAAATTTCATCTCCATTATAACATGAAGAGCGTAAACTGCAACATCAATCAATCCCGGTAAATGAAGATGTTAAGAATGGTATGGTAGTTGAATGATTCAATTAATCAAAATTATTCTAAAAATTAATATAGAGGCCATAAAGAATGATTCTATTTCCAATTTTTAGTTCATTTAGTTTGTATATATATGGTTGTCTTCTTCTCAATATTATTACTCCGTAGGAGTTAATCATCTCAATTCTATCATAAGGGCGGGCATAAGGGTGTCCTATGGTATATGAGAAGCAGAGAAAGAACTACCTTCAACAATATTATAGGGTAGTGATACGGACTTATTTCATTGTCCTACTGGTTAAATTGGGGACTTGGTGACGAGTTTATATAGCCAAGGGTTCTCCAACCTTAATAGCTAGCTTTTGGGGTGTGTCTCTCCATTGTGTTGTATCAGGTAAATGTAATTTACCCTCCTCAAGGTTTGTACAAAGTCCAAACTACCAATGAGGGCAATGACACCCTAATGTTTTGCATAAGTAACAACCCAACCTCTGGGTGCCTATTATATACTCCCTCCCCGTCCACAAATAAACTTCTCGTTCACTGTTCAGAGGGTCAAACTTTATTCACTTTATTGGCCTATTTTTGTTACCCATTTGATAAAATAATATGGTCATGTGAACTCTAGTTTTGTAAATCTTTTGATATAGTTTTTTAATATGTAATTTTTATTTTAAAATTTCACACCATTTTTCATATAAAATGATTTAAAAATAACTTCAGCCAAACATCGTAATTTGATAACTCTGTCTCGAACTCAATGTAATACTCCGTAATTTGAACAAATTGAGTACACATAATAGTTAAGACAAGCTAGGGTAAATTTAAATTCTACCAAAGTACTTCAGACTGTTCGCATTGAACAGAGACAAGGTGAATCTAGCTAAATCTGTTCGTATTTGTGCAAAGCTTGGGGTCATGGTAATCCCAAAGCGTCGTGGTTATACTTAGATTTATTCCAATTGGATTATGCAAGTGAGGCCAAACTACATTTTAACCTAGGTTAATCTAGAAGCTCTTGCAATGAAGATCTTGAATCCAAGCTGCGGAACTGTACAGGCTTTTCAGATGTAATCTATAGAAAGTGGGGCTAAACATGAAGAAATCACTTACCTGAAAATCAGACTTGCGAGACCTCTAGCTTCTCCGACATGTGAAGTCCACCGGAAAGTTCCAAATCTGCTTCTTATTCAAGCTGTCCAGTTCAGTAAGGGCAATTGAATGCGAGATGCGGATGGGGAATTGATGGATACCGTGGAGGGTATCCCGGCCCGTGCAAGAAGGCTTGCCCAAGATCCAACACTGGCCTTGCATATTTTTTTTATAGTTATTAGTATTCTGATATAATATGAATTGGAAATAAATTATTTTTAAACTTTGGACTTGTTATCTTTTATTTTTTATGATTATGATCCATTTAAATTTGAAATCAATACTTTTATTTAAATTTTTTCTAATTCTTTTAATTTTTTCCAGTTCTTCTAATTTCTTCTAGTTTATTTAATTCTTTCTAATTTCTTCCAGTTTCTTCCAATTTCTTTCAACGTATGAATATTCATTGTCAAGTAACTGAATTCTCATTTTCGAGCATAGCTGAATTTTAAATAAATGGGTATTCAGTTACTAGAAAATGAGTATTCACTTCTTCGAAAATGAGTATTCAGTTAATCGTAAAGTAGCACCCGCCGCAGATGTACGAGAAACATCATAAAACCGATTGTACGGTATATATTGTCTGTAGTTAGAGGACAAACTCGCGTGTGGATCGACATCTGATCTTGACCCTCTTGTTAGGCTAACCTAGTATTCCACATTACTTACTCCAAATATGTGGCCCACTCAACTAGGGGCTAGGGCCTAGGGGTGAACGTGATCTCTGATGGTTTGAGATATACTTAGAACCTATATCATACAATTACTCTTAATTAATTTCAAATAGTTCAGAATGGTTTGGTTTTACGATCAAACCTTTCAGTAATCGGTATCAATGCTAACTCAAAACCGTATGGTAACATATTATACCAATGTCAAATAATATTGTAATGCTATAAGAGTTGAAAAAGTAATTTTAAAATGAAAAAATGAATGGATGAAAGTAAATATATTTGACATACCAATGAAAGTAATAAAACTTGTCAAACTATTATTGTAAAATTACTTAAAAGACCAAGGTTAAGTAATACATTAAAATCGTACAAAAGAAACAATAACTAAAATTATTGAAAAAACAAACATTAAGGTACAATAATTGATTAATTAATTCTTATTAGTAGCACTCTGGTTTGATATTGATCGATGAATGAGAAAGTTGAAAAGTAAATTACTTTTGCATCTTATATATTTGTGTCAGGTCAATTGTGGAAGAAAGATAGATGATGAGTAGAGTAGTTTTTTTATACGAGTAATAAAAAAATTTAACTCTTAAAGACTACTATAATTTGCCACTCTCGCACTAGTACCAAATGGTTTTGATCGTAATATCGAATTGTGTGAATAGTAATGATATAGTACGGCCGTGGCGTGGGTACTTCTATACGAAAATCACAAAACGTAAGGAATCACGCATACTCCTACCCACACCGAAATGACTAATTAGAACCATTGACGTGACTTGCAATAAGGGAATTGAATGAGGAAATATAATTAAACCGGTATTTTGTATCTCTAATTGTGTCAACTGTACATATGGACTATAGGGCTGGCCTGCAGAAAGGACTTCTCGGCTCGGCTCATCATATCATAATTAAGTACTAACTCAAAACAATAAAAAGGGATGATCTCCATCCTCGAGGGTTTCTTTAGACTGGGACTCGGTTGGGCAGTCAATGAGAAAATGTAAAATTAGATTTTGATCTGAGATTGATGATAAGAAGTAGAGCACGCAATGCCACAAAAGTTTTATACTTAACATAATTGTTTCTTAGAGTAATTATCGATCTAGACGTACACTTTTTACTAATGTCAAGTGCGCACCCAATGCCACAAAACAAGAGTCTCTAGGGAGGTAGTTACTTGTGTAAATAAACACCGGCCGCATGCACGCACCACTTTGTTAATTGTCTACTTATAAACGCGAAAGTTTTTCCCGTGAGACGTAAAAGCTGCAACCGAATCTGATCACATAGCCAAGATCGATATATATTGGCTGCTGCTATACATACTGCCCAAACGTTAATTGATAGTTATTTGAAACTAACTAAAGCAGCATATAATAATAATAATAATAATATAATGGATACCATGATCACCAAGTTGCCTGTAGATATCAAGTTCACCCAGCTCTTCATCAATGGCCGATTCGTCGACGCCCTCTCCGGCAGGACCTTCGAGACAATTGACCCGAGGACCGGTGAAGCCTTCGCAAGGGTCGCCGAGGGAGACAAGGACGACGTCGACTTGGCCGTCAAGGCTGCCCGTCACGCCTTCGACCACGGCCCCTGGCCCCGCCTCTCCGGATCAGTATGTACTCTTGATCCCTTACCATACTAGCTTCAAATTAAGTCAAATTTGCGTTAAATAGTATTAAAAGATACTCTTTTCTCGTCTCATAAACCTCTTTCTATTTTAAAAAAAGGTTCACTTTAAAATGAGTAATTTTGGTGTTATTTTCTAATTTTGTCATTACTTTATAACAGAGTACGATGAGATGTGTATGATAGATGAGTCATTATTAGAAAATAACATCAAAATTAATTACTCATTTTAAAGGTGCGTCTTTTTTCAAACAAGAAAAGTTTTAAGGTACGGATGAAGTATGTCTTTTTCCAATGTAGTGTCTAAAGTTTTTTATTCTCTAAATAGCACTTGAATAATGTTCCGTGAGGATAAATATTTAGTTCAACAATGTCTAGTGGACATTGAATAGTAATACTATATTAGAAAATCAAAACATATACTACTTGGGAAACTATCTACTCCCTCCCTTCCATAAAACTCTTTCCCTTTCGTTTTTTTCTAGTTCCATAAAATAGTTTCATTTTCTATTAAAAAACCATTTTTACTCCTACTTTTTATACCCTACCTATCATATCATACTTTTGCACTAATAACTAAACTATCACATCTTACTTTAACCATCAGTGGCAAAATTGGAAAATCAATTAAAATTATATTTTTGTTATTTTTGGCTTAAAGTCAAAATGGGAAGCTTTAAAGGAACGGAGGGAGTATGTTTTAAAACTATAGGTAAATTCCCCTTTAACTTAAGCTTCGTTCCGTTCAACTTATTTTTTCTACTTTTCTTATTCTTATTAAAATCATATCAGATCAGATCTAATCAGATCAGATCAGATCCAATCAGATCAAATCCAATCAGATCAGATCAGACCAAATCAGATTAATCAAGAATTATTATTGTTATTATTGTTATTATTATTACTATTATTATTACTATTCTTAAAAATGAAAAAAAATAAACTTTAGAAACAAGTTAAATAGAAAACTGAGAGAGTAATCCTTAGATATTAGACATCGGAAAAATTATTTTTAGAATATATTGACAATGTCAATCTAATTCTACTGTTAAAATATATTTGTAATGCTACCTGTAATTTGAGTTTCTAAAGTTTTGATCTTTTACTACGTCGAATTGATCAACTTTGATCATGACTTAAATAAAATTAACATTTGATATTTATATACGGAGTATATTCTAGTGTAGCTGAAATAACTATTACAACTATGGTGTTATATTAATTATAAAAAAAGTTTCGTAGTACAAAGCTAAGCAGACACTGATATTTTATAAGGATGAGATATTTTAATAAAAATACTATCTCTTCTCTATATTGATTATCTAAATTTAATTACCAAGTACTTTTAATGTATATATGAATTAAATATTTATTCTAATGTACATATGAACTAATTTTTAAAATATTAAATCAATATTTTTATTTCATAAAAAAATAGTCATAAAATAAAAAATATTATTGCATTATAATATGAATGATTATTCTAATATATGAATTAACTATATTTATTTCATTAAAAAATAATCATAAAATAAAAAATATTGATTATATTATAATATGAATTATTATTACAATTTTCAAATGTTATTATAAAGTCAAATCAAATTATTGATTTGAATTTTAAATCAAATCATAATTAATCAAATCAGATCAAACCATATTAGATCAGATCCAATCAGATCATAACAGATTAGATTAGATCATATCAGAACTACAAAAAATCAGATCAGATCAGAAAAAATAAGTTGAACGGAACGGAGCCTTAATCATTTTCGGATGGATGGTTTAACTAATTACATGAATATATCTAATTAATTACTCCCTCCGTCCCAAAAGGTTTGTCTCATTTTGACTAAAGTGATAAAATAAGGAGGGATATTTTGGTGTTGACTTTCTAAAAATACCCTTGATGTGATGTATAAAAGTATGATGCGATGAGTAGATTATTAGAAAAAAAGTATGATGTGATAGATAGAGTATGAAAATATAAAGAGTAAAAGAGGTTTTTTAATAAAAATGGGACGGACTTTAAGGAACGCAATTTTTTCGAAACAGGATAGACTTTTTGGGACGGAAGTAATATTTAATTAATTACATGGTGATGAATATATATATATATATATATATATATATATATATATATATATATATATATATATATATATATATATATATATATATATATATATATATATATATATATAGGAGAGGGGAAGAATAATGATGAAGCTGGCGGAGTTGATCGAAGAGAACGCGGAGGAACTGGCGGCGCTGGACACAATGGACGCCGGGAATCTGTACAGCCTGGGGAAGGCGGTGGACGTTCCGGAAGCAGCAGCGACGCTACGGTACTTCGCCGGGGCGGCGGACAAGATCCACGGGGAGACGCTGAAGACGTCGAGGCCGGTTCAAGCGTACACGCTGCGGGAGCCGATAGGGGTCGCCGGAATGATCATCCCGTGGAACTTTCCGACCATACTGTTCTTCGCTAAGGTGAGTCCCGCGTTAGCTGCGGGGTGTACCATGGTTGTCAAGCCTGCTGAACAAACTCCCCACTCTGCTCTTTACTATGCTCACCTCGCCCACAAGGTATACATACCATATTCGTATAATCTGTCATTATCCAATACTTCTTCCGTCTCAAAAAGTCTTACACGTTTCAAAAAAAAATAATTCCCACAATCTTCTTCTCCCTTATTTTTCTATTTTAATCAAATATCCTTCTCTTTCTGGGATGGAGGGAGCACTTATTAATGTATGGTAGATCATACAAAAATACGTGTCATAAACAGAATAAAAGGAACTTTTAATTTTGGACAAAAGTAAATATTCCTTCCATCCCTGAAAATTTTTCTCCTTTTTTTTTCATCCCTCCCAAAAAACACTTATTATTTCTATAAAAAAGTCACTTTTACCCCTTATGTTTTCATACCCTACCTATCACATCATACCTTTTTACTAATAATCTATCCATCAAATCTTAATTTTACACTTCACATCAAAAAACTTATTTGGAAATTCAATACCAAAATATACTTCTCTTAAATCTCTTAAAAATCAATAACTTCCAAAAGAATAAAAAAACCAAAAATTCTCACGGAGTATATTATTAATGAAACAGGCTGGTATCCCGGCAGGAGTATTGAACGTAATTACAGGACTTGGGCCAACGGCTGGAGCAGCCATTGCTTCTCATATGGATATTGACATAGTAAGCAGTGGGCTTATTTCTTAATTAATTATATTCATGCTAATATTGTTTTTGAGTTCATTAACCAAGCCCATTAACATTTACGAAAACTATATCAAATTGTTTACTTATTTTCGAAGGCTCTGAAATTAATTTTCTACATATCGTATTTTAGTTTAAAAAAAATTATAATAAAAAATTAAAAGAATTACTCTGTAGATTCTTTTAAGACGTAGTTTTACTACTCTTTCTTTTCTTAAAAAAACTTCCTATTTTAGATGGTATTTGACTTCTAATTTTGTCTTTGATGCGATGAGTAAAAGTAAGATGTGATGGATAAATTATTAGATAAAAAGTATGATGTGACATGTATGTTAGAAAAAAAGTAAATGTAAAAGTAATTTTTTAATAGAAAGTAAGAATATTTTGTTGAAAGTAAAAAAAATGAAAGAGAAATTATTTTTGAAAACGGAGGGAGTATATCATATGCTTACGATATTTATTTATTTAAAGAGTTTTTTGCCCCATTTATCATTGTACTTTTCAAAAATTGCATCTATCCCCCCTGAACTTTAAATTTAGCATCAGTGTCCTCTGAACTTTTAAAAATGTTCCATCAATAGTCTCTGTATGTCAGATTTTGAAGTGTGTTAATCACAGGTTCATATTAATTGATTGGTATATGTGGCCAATATGTTTTCTAGGTGAGCTTTACAGGATCAACAGAAGTTGGGAAGCTGGTGATGAAGGCGGCGGGAGAGAGCAATTTAAAACAAGTGATGTTAGAGCTTGGAGGAAAGAACCCTCTCATTGTGTTTGAAGATGCAGACATTGATATGGCTGCAAGTGTTGCCCAATTTGGAAGTCTTTATAATAAGGCAATTAATTAAGCTAAGACTCTTTTATTTTTTCTTCTTCGACTCATATATTATTGTTGACATCATTTCTTTAAATCAAATACCCCAGTACCTTTTAATTTTGGGGGATATTGATGTTGCTAAAGATTATACTCTCTCCGTCCCAAAAAGTCCGACACGTTTCGAAAAAACTTCGTCCCGTAAAGTCCGTTACATTTCTATTAAAAAACCACTTTTACCCCTTACTTTTTCATACTCTACCTATCATATCATACATTTTTCCTAATAATCTCCCATCACATCATACTTTTACCTATCACATCAAGGGTATTTTTGGAACGTCAACACCAACATATCCCTCCCTTAATTTCACAAAAAGTCAATATGTACCAATTTTTTGGGACGGAGAGAGTATTAAATATGCGAAGAGTTATCTAAATAGTACTAAAACATAATGAGTTTTCCAATGTAGTATCATATGTTTTTATTTTCTAATGTAGTACCACTATTCAATGTCCACTGGTCATTATTCAAGTAAAAATGTCGAGTGTCACTCGACATTATTCAAACTAAATTTCCACCATCACTAGACATTATTCCCGTCACTAGACATTATTCAAGTACTATAAAATGAATTAAAAAAATTTAAATGCTACATTGAAAAATTACATATATTTTGGTACTATTTAGTGCAAATTTCACTAAGGCCCCGTTTGTTACATGGAATTCAAACTATGGAATTGGAATTGTGGACTTCAATTCCAATTCTAGTGTTTGGTAGCACAAATATTATGTAGATTTGGAATTGATAATGCAAAAAATGAATTGAAATTGACAGAATTCAATTCTATGGAATTACAATTCCAATTCAATTCCAATTCCACCAATTCCTTATACCATATGGACCCTAAATATATTATATTCTTGACTTCATATGGATGGATATATTCAGGGTGAAGTTTGTGTTGCGAGCTCTCGCATTTTTGTTCAAGAAGGGATTTATGATGAGTTTGCAAAGAAATTAGTTGAGAAGGTGAAAATGACAATTGTTGGGGATCCTTTCCATCCATCTACTCACCAAGGCCCCCAGGTTTTTTCACATCATATATGTTCAATTTCATTGTTAATAATATGAATATTAATACGGTCCGATTGCCGTGACATTGGGAATCAATGTCATTAGGTAATTCGGGGTGCTTCGATGCCTCGTTCGTAAAATTGATGGTTATTATCCTCTCCAATCACTCCAGTAAATTCCCCGTCCCGACCCGAACACACCCCTCATCCCCTTCATTTTGACTCTAAAGTAAAAATTAGGGACTAAGGGGTGCGATTGAAGGGGATGAAGGAGTGTACGTGTTCGGGTCGGGGCGGGGTGGGGGATTCACCGGGCAGATTAGGGGGTAAGATTCGTCAATTTTACGAACGAGACATAAAAGCATGCCGAGTTATATCATGATATTGATTTCCAATGTGATAGAAACCAAGATGATATTAATAACATAAATGATTATAATTTTAATTGCGATACTTCATTCATCTTATTATTTTTTTCTATCTATCCTATTATTTATGTCTCATACTATATTGAGTATTTGGTTATGTTTATATTCATTTATACTTTATCTCACTTTTTAACATAACTATCAACTACATAATTTTATCTCTTTCTTTTTTTTAATTTCCGTACAACCTTCTCACGTGGAACCGAAAGATTGATAAATAAATAATTGTCCAAATTTTATACGGAGTATATGTGTATCTCATCAATGTATTTTTTTTAAGGTGGATAAAAAACAATTTGAGAAAATATTGTCTTATATCGAGCATGGGAGAAGAGAAGGAGCCACATTGTTAGCTGGGGGCAAGCGTCATGACAAAGTCGGATACTACATTCAACCAACAATCTTTTCAAATGTTGAGGTATATATATATATATATATATATATATATATATATATATATATATATATATATATATATATATATATATATAATGCCTCGGAGTAATATTTTTATATTACTTCACTAAATAATAATTTTTTAAAAAACAATTTGGTTCAAGTTCTATTATGTGAAAATTCTACTCTTATTTGGGTTTAGTTTTTGTGTGTGAACATAAAAGTATTCAGAAAGATTCGAAATACTCCTTTGTTGTCGTTCATTTTTTTAATTTGTGAAATATAAACTAAGTTTCGATACGCATCTCTTGCGTTTAAATATTCATTTTTTTAATTTTTCATGTTTTTATTTAAATTCACTTTTAATTTTCAAAAAGAAAGGGGCATTGTTAAATTTTAAGGTGTAAAGTAGGTATGTATATTCATCCAAATTTGTACTGAAACCGATGCTGAACCATAACGAACTGATATTTCGGGATCAGGATCGATACTGAGTAAAATCTCATACAAAACCGAAATATTTGGTACCGTACCGGTACAAGCTAAATACCGTACCATGCTCACCCCAAACCTTAACCCACCCCCTAAACCCCTCCACCGCACCCTATCCCGCCATAAACCCCCCACAAAATGTGTCACTAGAACCCCATCGCATACACACACACCACACACACCAGTTTAGTTCGAATCATTTTCGGGTCATTTTTTCTCAAGGTGAGAAGAATCTTGCACATGTTTCAATGGCAACTTTTGTGTACGCATTTCAATAGGATTCTATGTTGATTGCAAAGGACGAGATATTTGGACCCGTAATTTCGCTGCTTAAATTCAAGTAAGTTCAAAGTTAACCATTATAATGAATATTTTAAATTGATTGTCATTATTAGACTTGTAGTACTTTTAAAATAACAACATTTTTTTTTAAAAAATATTGTTTATTGTAAAGAACGGTGGAGGAGGCCATTAAGAGAGCAAATGCTACAAAGTATGGGCTAGCGGCAGGAATAGTGACCAACGACTTAAACACTGCCAACACTGTTTCGAGGTCACTTAAAGCTGGGATTGTTTGGATAAATTGTTACATAGTAATGGGGCATGACATTCCTTTTGGAGGATACAAGATGAGTGGCTTTGGGAGAGATTCTGGGTTAGATGCTCTTCATAAATATCTCCATACCAAAACTATTGTTACTCCTTTGTATAATCTCCCTTGGCTCTAATTAAATTTATACTACATGTATTGTAATAACTAATAATATTGGTTTCTATAGGATTCATGTTTTGGCCTTTAGCTCCATAATCACTCTAAGCATTCCAAAATGAGGGGATCCATAGATCCCACATTACTTAGAACAGTAAATAATGGCTTATACTACAATGCCTTTATAAGCAATATTACCTGATATGTTTTTAGCGAAGGTCATGTTTTCTTCAACTTATTCTCGTTACTTATTACTTTTTCTTATTAGAATTAGTTCAGATCAGATAAAAAACAGCTTTAAATATACAAAAAATTGCTGCCAGGTACCCTCGGTTTTGTGATAAGAACTAACAGGTCCCATCTTTTTTAAAAATATACTCCGAGGTACCTTTAATTATCTGAAAACTAACTCCGGGGAGACTTTCCGTCTATCCCTCCGTCAAATTCATTATCTCCGTTAACTTTTCATCTTCTTCTTCCTAAAAATTGTTGTTAGGTACCCTCAATTTTGTAGAAATAACTTTCAGGTCCCATAATTTCTAAAAATATATTCCGGGTACCCTAAAATATCCAAAAACTTGCTTTGGAAGAATTTTCCTTTATTATTATTATTATTCGTATTCTTATTCTGAGATTATTATTATTATTATTATTATTATTATTATTATTATTGTGTGACTATTACTATTATTATTAATATTATTATTATATTATTATTATTGTGATTGTTATTATTATTACTATTACTAGTGTTACTTTTATTACAGAGTATTATTATTATTATTAGTCACTTCATCATTATCTTCCGCAGCTGTAAGCCTGTAACTCGCTGCCGCATTGCCTATTCAGTTGCATTGGATTTTCGTTACACGCACTAGAATAATAATAATAATAATAAATATAATAATAATAATAATAATAATAATAATTGGATAGTAATAGTAATAATAATCACAATAATAATAATAATAATAATAATAATAATAATAATAATAATAATAAAAGGAACAAAAGGAAAACCCCCCATAGTAACTTTTTGGATATTTTAGGGTACCCCGGAGTATATTTTTAAAAATGATGGGACCTGAAAGTTACTTTTATAAAATTGGGGGAAGCTAACATCAATTTTTAGAAAGAAAATGATGAAAAGTTAACGGAGAAAATAAATTTGACGGAGGGAAGGACGGAAAGTCTCCCCGGAGTTAGTTTTCGGATAATTAAAGGTACCCTGGAGTATATTTTTAAAAAAGATGGAACCTGTTAGTTCTTATCACAAAACCGAGGGTACCCGACAGCAATTTTCTGTTTAAATATATATATAACTACATTCAGATTAGATCAAATCACAACTTATTCCAATCAGATCATAACCATTTAAATCAGGTGAATTGAACATGGCCTAAGTCTTATCTGTGGTATAAAGGATATATATTTAGAGTATATTTACTTGAGTTAAAAAAATTGATATCCAACTTTTTCTAACTCGTTCTAGTTTTCCGAGTTTCTTCCACTTTCTTCCAACAATGACTAAAAATGTATTTACATATAATGAAATTACAATAATATCATATATTCAAATTGATAACATACATTTTCAAACACTGACAAATATGAATTGTCTCTTAATTAATTTTCTTATTTTTTTGTGATTGTTTAATTAAGTTGTTTTTTAACACTTTATTTTTTCAACAATGTCTAACTTCTTGTAGTTTTTCCAATTTCATCCAATTTCTTTTAGTTTTTTCAACTTTTTTTAGTTCATCCTAACATCCACCTGTAAGGAACTAACCCTAAATACAATTATAACCTAGTCTTTTAATTATTTGGAAGGAATACTCCAATATTTAATATTTTTCTTCAGATATACTCCATCCCTCCTAAAACGTTATTCCCACTTTTGCTTTTCAATGTGTAAAATTTACAAAATCAATTGCTTCCTTTGTATTGATTTGTCCAACATATATATATATATATATATATATATATATATATATATATATATATATATATATATATATATAGGGGCTGGTTCAAGTGAGAATTCACCTTGGTGAAAGAAATAAGAATAAAATCTGGCCTTTAGATCTGATGCATCGTGCGGCTCAGATTGCATTTTGCACTAAAATTTTGAGATAGTGCATTTTCAAAGGATTATGGTGCATTTCGACATGATGCATTTTCAAACCATCTTGGTGCACCTAATTTTGATGTAATCCTAACCCTTAGATCTCCCAATTTAATGCACCAGATTCATTCTTATTTCTTTCATTAGATTGCATTCTCACCTGAACCAATATATATATATATATATATATATATATATATATATATATATATATATATATATATATATATATATATATATATAACAGAATACACATTAAGGCAGAAGAGTACCTTGGTGATCTCACAAGGGAGCTGGAAGAGGAAGACGAAAATGAAGAAATTCATATGTCCATCAAGCAGGCATTTGAATACTGCAGAAGTCAAAACAACTTTCAGCTCAGTGACAAATTCAATTGGAATACACTTCAAATTCCTAAAGTACAGATGTTCCTATGGAAAGCAAACAATAATATATTACCATTCCCGGAAGCACTTGGCTCAATTGGATATTGTCTGCCTTCCAGATATCCTTTCTGCCACAATGCAGAAATGAACATTGATCATTGTCTACTACAATGCAATAAGATTAGGGGGATTTGGGAGAAACTAGCAAGCATTTGCGAAGGGCCAGAATTAAAAGAAGGAATTTCACTAAAGCAGCATGTGATGGAATGGAATTTAAGATCAGATACTAAAACTCTGAGAGGAGTTATGAAGCTTATATTACCAGGAATGATATCTTGGTCAATTTGGAAGCACTATGCAGAAATTACCTTTGGAAATGAGAAGGAGAACATCACTGCCATTACTCAGACGCTAAAGAAAATCCTGACCACATGGAGCTGGAAATACAAACATAAGGGGTGGATGATTAAGGATAATACGTTGATGGATTTGGGGTTACAGACATTCGCTTTGAGCGGGGAAACTATTCGTATGGCGGCAAACGGAAATTGAAGATGTCTGGAATGGATTCTTGTTTTTTTGTTAAATATGATTGTAATTTCTCGTCTTGACTTTCGGGGCGTTGGTCTAGTCCTCCCCGAACGTGTTGTAAAATTTCTACATTTACTGCTTATATATATATATATATATATATATATATATATATATATATATATATATATATATAATACCTCAAGTTTTAAACTAACCAAGGAAACATAATCCTACAAGGATACAAGCTATACACAATAAATACAAATAATATAGGAATATCCTCTACTACTCCTTTAAGTAGGGGTGAGCGCCGGGTTGGTTCGGCCAGTTTCGGGTCAAAACCGAACTAACCGAATTATTTTTTATTATCTAAAAACCGACCGAGATAGTTGGGTAACCGAAAAAAACCGAAACTGTTTTAACCGAACGGTTTCGGTCGGCTATTAAAAACCGAACTACATATACAAAAAATAGGTAGGGGCATGGGAAAATTGAATTTTACATAGCAAAAAAAACAATTAAGTATAGGGGCAGGGGAAATTGAGACTTCGAGGGTGTTTGGCAGTGCGCTACTTTTAATAATTTAGCTTCTACTTTAAGTGGAAGTAATTTTACTCTGTTTGGCATGTCAGCTTCTGCTTTTCACTACCACTATTTTATACACAGAACACCGTTTCGGAGAAGCAGGTATGAGATGCTTTTGCTTTCAGCTTTTGTGGAAATCACTTTATCCACAAGTTAATCACTCCCAAACACCCTCTTCATATTACATAACAGTTAATAGGTCTTGCAAAAGAAAAGTACTAATAAGTGAAGATAAAAGGGGCTGCCAATCTGGAACCTTCCATGCTGGGGAAGTTTAAGAACATTACAAGAACAAAAAAAAGCCTCCAAAACATTAGCCAAAAGAATACAACCCAAAGTACCAAAATAATAATAGTCCAAGTAAAGTTTAAGATAAGTTCAAACTGTAGCAAAATAAAAATATGATCCCATGACTTCAATGTTTGATCCCATCAAAACATTGTTAGGGTCTCTATCATCCACAAGATCACAAACTCTGAAAGGATAAAAATGAACCAATTAGATACAAGTAACAGAAAATGTATCAAATAAGAATGCTTCAAATTCACAAATTATAAATAATAGCACAAACCGAATACATTATATTAGTACATTACCCATCTTTAAGCATCAATAACAGGATCCAAATTGAGCTTAGACAAATCTGAAAGCATTTAAAACTTATGAATCATAAGCAGTAAATCAATAATACTCAAAAAATAACGGATATTAGATTGCATAATACAAATTTATATTCATAGACGCACCTTGATCTAATTTGTTCAACTCAGAAACATCACTCTCATATTCGTGGATACTACAATACTCTCATTGACGTAACCAATCTTGACAACAAATTAGAGCTTGGACTACTTTAGGAGTTAAAGAACTCCTATATGAATTAAGAACACGACCTCCAGTACTAAAAGCAGATTCTAAAGCAACTGTGGACACTGGAATGGCCAAAACATCACGAGCAATGTTAAAAACAATAGGAAACCTATGACCGTTCTTTTTCCACCATCCAAGAATATCAAACTCATCATCTTCTTCATCACACTCATCAGTGATATACTTCTCCAAATCTGACTTTTTCCCTCCCTGTCCAATTGTACTCTTATACTTCCGATATTCATTCTTGGTACTAGTTTCGTTGAGGATGTTACTGTCAACCTTTGTGCTCAAACTAGTTTGTGAAGCTAAACTGGTGTGTGCACTTGAAGTACTTCCAGAACCATTTGACACATTCTTGTACTCCACAAACAATTCATCCATTGTATCTCTAAGCTTCTTTGATAACGTTGAAGCTACTGATGAGGAATACATTTTCTTGAAACAAAAGTCCACATAGTCATACTTGTATCGAGGATCAAGCACTGTGCCAATGTATAACAACATATTCATCTTCTCCAAATCACCCCAATATTTATCATATTTATCAAGCATTTTTGAAGCCATACTTTTGAATTGTTCATCGGGGCTCACCGTCCAAGCTTTCAAAGTACAATACACATCACATATTTCTTCCAAAAAACATTAGATGTGACGTACAGTGAACCAGAAA